GCCTGGAAGCACTAAGTGTTCAGTTTGTCATTTCCAGTCCAGGTGTGTGTCTAAACAAGTGACACAAGTTGGATAAGAGCATTAGGTTCCTATTTGTCATTTGAAATGAACCTTGTATTGTTGACTTACTTTAATTGTATCTCTTATCTTGAATTCAAGTCCATAAATCTTTGCGTCTTTTCCAAGAGAATGTCTTAAGCAATTTAATGTGTTTACCATTCCTTGTGTAATTATATACATACTGGTTTTTATGTGTGGCTGTATATATATGTGTTTATATGTATATGTGTATATATAGGTAGGTGTTAATATCTCTTTCAATGGATGAAATAAAGAAGATAACTTTCTGGTTAGGCAGTGACTAGGAGGAAGTACTCATGGATATGACTGCTCATATGTTGGACTTTTTTTTTTTTGTTGTTGTTTAGAATTATTACTTATCTTTACTGGCAAATAATAGAAGGAAGAAAGACCATGACCAAACTCTTACGTAAGCAAATTATTAATGTAAGTTTGACTTTCAGCTTTATCTTCTTTTAAAATTTGGCTTCCTTGTTGATTGTCTCATCCTGCTATTGTGGAGCTGTGATCTGCTTTTCCTATGCCAGTTCAAGGGAGGGTGGAAGCCTTCCCCCATGGGAATTGCAGGGAAATTTAACTCACAAATAGGGTTGTTGCAAAATAATTTAACCTTCAAGTTGTGCTGCTGCAGCTCCCTCTGTAGACAGATTATTTCAGAATAAAAGGAATGTTAGTGATTATTCAGGTCAATAGGCCTTGACCTCTCGAGAATGACTCGTCCATTCCAGCTAATGATCAAATGTGTCTCGACTATAGGAAGGAAAAGATAAAATGTTTTTACTTGAAAAACTACGGGCACTGCAAAGGGCAAAAGAGAACCCACCTGCGCCAAGGGGACAAGACCAGCAGGTCAGTTGGGTCGTTCAGATGCTGCCGTTTCACTTACGTGCTTGGTACGATTTTGTGGGGTTCCTCCAGCCTTGCAGATAGGCTGACAATTTGAGATAGGGCTGGATTTAAAACTTCACTTAAATTGATTGATTACTAGTTAACTCCAGACATCAAAAGGATACTATTGGAGGTTCCCTAACTATTTGTTCCAGGCTGGAATTTAACCTGGGAAGGATGTAGGAAAGTCCTTACCCTCACTAGACATTATTTTTGATTATGAAACTGCAAGAAAACATTCCTGATCAAGGAGTGCAGTGATGGTCACTAAAGGGCTCAGCCACGCTTCACCTTGCCTAGGCTAAGGAGGCTGCCGTCCTCCCCTGACCCTGAATTTCCTTTGGGGCTTATGGTTTGTGCCTCCACAATCTTTTCAGCTGAGGTAAAACTGAGTGCTTTGACCTAACCCTGTTTTAAATCCCCAACATCATCAACACAGAAATCTAACATCTTCAACTTGAATTTATTTTTCAAGTCAGTCCTGCCTGCTGAGCCATCAAATTTGGGTTAAAATGTGTACATATAGGTACTGGGCAGTGGGGTTTTTTTGGGGGGGGTTGAGCAAAAACTCTTTGATCTATATACTGGTGAAGAAAAAGGATTTTTTTTAGATTCCCCTCCCTCCCCCCAAAAAAACAAATCCTCCTGTGACTGGCCATCATCAATGTGATCATATAAATAAATATAAACACATATTGATAATGATTGTTATTGGTATATTGGTAAATATAAATATATATGTGGTAATATAAAGAAATATAAATACATATTGACTGTAGAAAGGGGAGTTTAAAGTGAATGGGCATTTTCTGTGTGCTGGGGATTTTCAAACACTAGAGAACCCAGTGGCTGTGTCCAGGGTCACAAGTGGGACTCCTGAGCTGAGGGTTTGGTAGCCTGCAAAGCGGGGATGTTCCTGTAGTTGTCCAAAAGGAGATGCCAGAATAATCTCGCTGTGTATCTAGTAGAAGAGCCATCTCCCTAAACCCAGGGCGTGAGTAGTGCTGAGCATGAAGTCATGATTGGAAGCCAGAATATAGCACTGCTAATGTCAAATACTGTCTTTCAGAGAAGCTCTTCTTCATACCAGGCATCCAGGCAACCTGCCTGCCAAGTGCCAGGCTACCCAGGAAGGGTATATGACAGAAGTGAGAACGCATCCTACAACGAGGTGAGATGGTCAAAAGAAGGAAGTCTCTGCTAGATTTCCCTATGTGGAAGCTGGGGCATCATATAGACAACGGGCCTATGTTGAACAAAGAGGTCATCCTGTATGTATAGAAAAAAATTTAAAGATTAATTTGAGCAGGTACAAAAAATGTTACTGGAATAGCTGTTGAAGTGCTTGTACTCACAAACCTGCTTAAGATGGGGAGAGTATGGTTTTGTTAGAGGTAACTGCTGTCTCTGTAAGTACGAGACAACGGGCACATGAGGGAAACATCAACCTGAAACCTGCTTGTGACTTTTGTTTTCAGTATCCCCGTTCTGCTGGGAACTTGAGGGGCACTGGCTTCCTACTAGGTAAGCAACAAATGCTAAACGCAGAAAGCAGCTCATAGGAGCTCAGCTCAGTAAAAATGTTTGACATAGGATGGGCACAGCGTGTAACAGCTGGATGTAAGAGACATGGAATTTTAGCCTCTTGTATGAAGAGAAAACAAAAAGACTGGGTCTTTGGGGTAAACAGTTTCTGTCGGATGTGCTTGTTGTGATGTTGGTGGTGATTTCTGAAGACTGGTCACAAGCTTCTGTAGAGCAGAGTTTAATTTCTGTGGGTAAATGAGCTGCCCTTACGGGAGCAGCCACAGGCAAGAATATTACCTCAGAGATAGACGTTACATCTTGGTGATCTCAGAAGAGGTTATTAGAGATGTCGAGTCCCTAGGACATCCCATGTCTGGAATAAAAAAAGCTGTGGAAACTTGCATGGTAGCTCGGACTGTTCCTGGTTTACACAAGCACGTATCTTCATTCCCAATCCTTGACAGATCAGACAGTTAAATAGCATGGGGCTTTCTAATGGGGGTGGTTATTAGACTGACACCAGCACAATTAATGTTATTTCCTTGGTGAAAAACAGATTCGGAGAGCTCCCAGCCCAGCAGCAGGCCAGGTGTGTCGGAGGCAGTGGCGCTCGCTCTGCGTGCTAGGGAAGCGGCTCGGTGGGAAGATGAAGATGATGACAGAGACGTGTGACCGTGAGCAGGCAGAATCAATAATAAATGTGAAGTCACTGACTGATGTTTTGCATAAAGCAATACTTGTTTGCATTAATGGCTGGAAGAACCATTCAAACTTCCTTCTTTTTTTTAACCTATAAATGCAAGAAAAAATAGAACAGATTGCAAAATGCATCCCAACTACAGTTTATTGTTATGAGAGGGAATATCCTGGGGGTTTGGTTTGTTTTTGAAGCTGTGATATTTGGTCACAGTCAGCCTCCCCCCAGGAGCAGCCCTCACCTCGATGCAGTAAGGGTCCCTTCACAGCTGGTCACTTGTTGACTGAATATAAGGAAACTTGTGCCTAATTGTAAAGAAAAGCTTTGGTCTAAAACTATTTTTATAGAAGTTACATTGTTCAAACTGCTTTTATCTGATCTAAACTGAAAATAAAGTATTATTCAAATAAAAATAGAAGGAAATTAAAGTGCAGTTGTTTTTAATGACTGAGACATTGTACTGGCTGTGAAGTAACTTGTGTGACCCAGTTTAAGCTTCTGTTCCATTTTCACTTTTTTTGAGCTATTGTCACAGTTTATTACAGTCTCTCAAAAGCAGCTTTGATGTTAAAAGTTACCAGAACTCTTTTTTAAGAGTGACTACTTTGGATCTTTGGAGTTACGGGTCATTTGCTTGTCTCAGGGAGCATGTGTAGAGCACAGCAGTAGAGGCTACAGCACTCATGAGATGGCTGGGCAGAAAATGGTTGAGGGCAGAACGTACACATGATATAGGATAGAGTGTGATTGCTGGTTCTGCAGTGCAGGGTGGATGAGTGACATGAACTGAAGAAGCTCTCATCATCCTGAGAGGAAAAAACCACCTCCTTACTCCTGCTTCTTTGTGCTTATATAAAGCACAAGATACAAGCAAAAAATCCATCCCCCCTTGTAGAAGGTACCATTAATCTGCTGCTCATTTTGACATTTTACATCAACCTACTGCTGCACAGCTGATAAAGAATACTGCACCCCTGAGCTCTCAGATATTTCTTTATTGTAACTGCAGACTCTTTTGGTTTCAAGTTAAATCTGGATTACAATTTTCCACACCTCCTTGTGAGTGGCCTTCAACCATGCAAACAATAAACAAAGGAAAAAAAACTTTTCAGCGCTATTTGTTCTACCACTACCCGTGCTCCATCTATAGCTTTCTTAAAAATAAATACATTCATGTGCTGTGTCCTTAGAAGGCAATCGTCTCCCTTGGTTCTTTTGAAAAATCTGGAAGATAAGAAGATACCCAAGTTTTATTCATCCATTCTCAGTCTTCCCACTGAACACGGAAAGTTGGCTTTCTTTTCCTTGTCAAGACACAGCACAGCCCTCTTTCCATGCAGCAGGAGGGAAATACACTCACCCTCTATTTTAGCACCATTATTTTCAGGTTCTGTTTTGAGAACAGTAGTGGAGATGATTTTAAGATGCCATAAATCAACTTCAAATTATTATACAGTCATAGAACAAACTATTTACATTACTATAATCAAGGTACTATTTTAAATTTGGCCTCCAAAAATTGCTGGTAAGACTTTATAACCAAGATTTAAACAAAGCAAAAGAAATAGTCTGAGAATTGCAAAGCAACCTGCAGGCAGAGCAGATTGCCTAGTTAGTTTGTCAAATCTGATCCTTTTATGTTACAGTGCCGCCTCCTCAGACCACGAATGGCTGTACCTCAGCTTTGTCCAGTGTTGCAACAGATGGTGTTTCTGCATTTGAGATGTGACTGTACAACAGAAGTAAACTACTGCTCTTCCTTTTCCCAGAACTACTGTCAGCAGTCCCGTCTGCACCAGTGAGTACCCTCTCGATGGTGAATTCAGACCTGCCTGAGTAAGAGAGCTTATTTAGGTCGGTGAGTGTCTGCAACATGCAAGTCTAGTAATGAGGATCACAGTCTTCCACCAAGCTGTCCGTGATGTAGCTGGATTTGAGGACAGTCTCACAGTAGCTTTTTTCAACAAATGTGTTCACTGTCCAGGCAACCACCTGAATTCCTTTGGAAGACCAGTGCCTCACGTACTCCCTGCAAGGAACAGAGACACCGTCAGAGGAAGGCTGACACTACCATATTTAAGGCAGACAGTGCTGAGGAGTCTTAGTCTGACATCAGTAGAACATCAAGAACGATAGTGTGTCATCTTTTGCATGACTATAGTGTGTCATCTTTTGCAACGTCATCTTTTTGTGTTTTATTACTGTAAACGGGCAAAAGCAAGAGTTTTCTTCCCCTTTGAGATTAAATTAAGGATCTAACGTAATATAAAAATACAGATTCAAAAGATAGAAGATTTAAAATAATAAAATAGTGTGGAGTGAAGAAACTGTCTAAACAACCTTACAGAATACTAAATTGATTAGGAACATATTGATTAACACATACTATGTTAACTCCACCCTTATATACTAACGGAATAGTAACACCTCCTGATATATTAGCAAGCTGTAACACTTACTGAGAAACAAAATTTTTCTGTATGAGGAAAGCTGAAACCCCACACAGTCGCCACAAGAAACTGTGTAGGCTCCAGTCTAGAACAACATCCATCATCATATACAAGTAATGCTTCCAGGAGGAACTGAAACGGGGGGTCCCATCTCCCAAGTGGCTCAGTTGCCAAGGCCTGTATGTTAGCGCTGTTACAACATTTCTGTCAGCTTGTCTCATCTGGAAGATCAAGGAGAAAAGTCTGTAATTCATACAAAAGTCAAGCTGCATTAAAACTGGCAGAAGTTAGATACAAAGTGCTATCTTGCATTTGCAGATCTACCAGAATCCTTCTCCCATTCCCCTCCAGATCCTTTTGTGTCTCTTTCAGAAAGCTGTCTACAATATTTTACTGTTTTTTCTTTAAAACATACTGAATAAGCAACTGCTCTTATGTTAAAGAAATGGCATGACAGTCAGGCAATGGAATAAAATACAGAGTAAATGGACTTGGCAATGAGAATTAGGAAACAGTTTTAAGAATTGTAACATTTACATCAAAATAGGAGGTTTATTTAACAGGTACCTTGCACACAGATACCTGGCCAAAGCCAACTGTAAGAGCAACACAGTTTTTCCCTTCACAGCTTTCAGAATGGGGGAAATTGCTGTAGATTCATATAAGCATCCAATGAGCACAGAGTGATCCAATAGGATTATGCATTATGCTTCATTTGTTTTTAGAAGTCTTGGCAATTTTAACAACCCCAAGTAATCTGGAACTGGGAGTATCTTATTGAAATTCCCCCACAGAACTAAAAAAAAAAAATCCAACATAAACTTTAAGGAAACATCACCTTATAAACAACATCTGGAACGAAGGAACAGACTATGGTGCTGTTGTACAAACGCGGAAATTCCAGGTAGAGTTGTTTCAGAGCATCAACCGCCTGCCAGTTGGAGATACACACAGATGTTATATCTGTACATACACTCGTATTTACTTTATGCTGCAAAGTCACTTTAGAATAATCACCTTAATACTTTCCTCTTAGCAAGACTGAAATGAAAATGGGGGAGAAAAACAGCATCTTGTTTGTAGCATTAACAAAGAAATGACATTTTGCTTTTGCAACAGAAGTTCTTTTCATGATTCTGTTTGCAGCAATGAGTAGTGTTCTCAGTGTTTGAAATACTCTTAAATACACTGTGGATAAAATTCTCAAGTACTACCTAGGGTTTAGTTCAAGGAGAAAAAATAATTTATTTCCATATTTTGCTATGCTAAAAAATATTATCCCAATCTGCATAAAATGTTAATGATTGATCCTCTGTATCGGCCTTAAGTAATGCAAATTATAGACAAGCGGGATCCCCAGATGGAGGCTGACGATGAGGTGTCAGCTCCCCTCAGCACAGGCAGGGAATTCGCTTTGCTCTGTTTCGTGGTGGTGCTGTGAGCTGAACTCACGTCTCAAGCTGATTTTGAGTTGCAGCTTCCCAGGACAATGGAATGGGATGAGGGAACATGTCTTTGGTTTGACAGCCCAACTTTGGATGACAGAAATTGCAGACCCAGTCTCATTCATATTAGAGAAGGGAAGGTACCACACACACCAGTTTGAGACCACCAGAAAGGCGGGTTAGAAAACCCAGGAAAGGGTGGAGGGAGGTGTCTTAGTACCGTCAGCAGTACCTGATTTGCATGGCCTTTGACATCAAAGTAGATTATAAGATTGTGATGCATCGACTCCACAACAGCTTCTCTCAGAGTTGGTACCTTTTCACCTTGGAATTTGCTCCTGTAGAAATGGAGAACTCCTCACTAGAATGCAGTCAAGGTGCACATGGGAACATACACCCTCAACTTCACAGAGCTGTTTCCTAGCGATTCCTAAACACGTCTTGCTGACACACTATCAGAGGTGGGATGAAGCACCACTAGCAATGGCAGTGTGGCTCTCTCACCCAGTAAAAGGCTGCACACAGAGAGGGATGTGCACATCTCCTCCTCCCCCAGAATTCCTCTAGACAATTACATCCTTCCAAATTCAGGATCTAATCCGATGCTCACTGACGCTGTGTTCCTCACTGAAACACCAACCTCAGCTCTTCACCTCCTTCCTCAGCTACCACAAATAAGCATTCAGTCACACTGCGCTCCCGAGCCAGACACACAGATCCTGGCAGGATAACCAAGACAAACTGAGCACACAGAAGCAGCTTCACACATAAATAAATT